AGATGGGAAGGTGCAAAAACCCAAATAATTAAAAAATAAATGCAGTCATTGCAGTTTTATAACTGCCATTAAATGGATTCTCTAAGCATGACACATGATTACTCACAGAGGAGATTTTTGCTTCACCAAACAAATCAAACAATAAAGAAAAACACAGGAATTAGGAAAAAAGCTATATTCTTAATAATTAAATCTGCATGCATTCCAAATAGCCACACAAAAACTGCAAATCATGGTAATTACTAGCTGGAAAGCTTTACTCAAATGGAGGTATTCACACACAGGTTTCCAAGATATTACCTGGGAAGGGGCCACTGGTGGAAGCTGTGGTACAGTTGAAATCTGAAGGGGTTTTAGTGGTGTACTGGTAGCTGCCACCTGAGAGGTCTGGGGCTGATACTGGGGTAACAGATGGGTCGCAGGCTGCATTGGGCAAACTGGCTGGCTGGCCAGCACCTGCTGCAGAGAAGCTTGCTGTGATATGGGTTGCTGCTAGGAAAGAAAAGAATACAAAAGGTTATAGCTTATATATTATTATATATTATGAAAGAAGCAGTTCTCTGGACACAGCCACCCATTTCTCTCTCTAGTTGAGCCTCACGGGCAGGGCAGAACTGTCGCTTGGAGTGGGGACTGTTTAGAGAAGGGCACTCCTAACTTAAGCACTGTACAACAGCTTATGTTTAAAACACATTTAAATGCAAGATACATTGCCTGAAAAGACAAGTTATAACTGTGTTGGAAAGGTTATTTATAATGACTCAGAGTCTTTAAATCCTGGAGTTTGTTCTAGTTGGCCCCATACAATTCCCACCCACTGAATTCCAAGATTCCTACTATGCAGATCATACCCAGCTGATCTTGGCATTTGAAAGCTGACTACATAGTGTAGCAGGCACTGAAATACACAACACTTATTATCTAAGACATGAATAAAACACAATAATTATAGTAAAAGCTGGATCCCAGTTATTTCTGAGGTGCTGTGGCAGCTAAAAAAGCAGTTTTACCCTTCCAGGGAGAACAGTGCTCCACTGGTCTGCCAAGGTTTATACAGCAGAACAGAAATAAAAAGCTGCATTAAAGCTGAAAATAATCAGCAACAAACTTTCACCTTTTCCATGATACATGTACCTCCCTCTTCAGCTCCTCTAATTAATGCTGAAAGTACTTAAGAACCAGTTCTGTTTCAGAAGCATGACACTGAGGCACCACACTGGTTCTGGACAAACCTTCATAGGGGACCACAGGATTGATGGCTTCACCCAGGCTCTCCAGCACACAGAACCAAAAATCATGGCTCATGGTCAGAAGGTAACTTTAAAATTAATAGCCAAGAACTATATCATCTTTAATGTCTGCCACTTCCACCATGAATCAGTACTGTAAATACTTTGCTCTGAACTTTTTTAGCAGCAGGATTGATCAACCCATTTTTAGGTATGAGTACACCAAAACCATAGGTTATGTATCAAGGAAGCAAGATGTCAGCCAGGCTTAAATATCTAACATTCAGCCACAACTGCTAGTTTTCCAGTAGAAGGATCAGTGGACAAAAGAGTATTTGGCAACTGGTATCAACTGAGTGTCCAGCCTGAATGCACTAAATGACTGAAGCACTGCAAGACAGGCTGGAGACAGTCCCAGCTCTGCACTGCCCCAGCTCAGCTCCTGCAGCCTTTCACAGCATCTCAGAACATTAGGGGTTGGAAGGGACCTCTGGAGATCATCTAGTCCAACCACCCTGCCACAGCAGGTTCACCTACAGCAGGTTGCACACAATGGTGTGTAGGTTTGAAAAGTCTCCAGAGAAGGAGACTCCACAACCTCTCTGGGTAGCCTCTCTCAGTGCTCTGTCAGCCTCACAGTAAAGAACTTCCTCGTCATGTTGAGGTGGAACTTCCTGTTCTCGAGTTTGCATCCATTGCCCCTCATCCTGTCACAGGGTAGAATGACAAGAGGTTGTCCCTGCCTTCTTGATGCCCAGTCCTCATTGTGGGCCAGGGCCACCAAACCTCCCCGTCAGCCCAAGGCAGCTCAGGGGGATGAGCAGCCCCATTGATTCATCTGGGGCTCAGACAGGCTGGCTGCAAGAGAACCCTGCACTGAGCAGCTAACCCAGCGGAGCAGCCCCCACCTCAGCAGGTGCCCAAAGCCTTCACTGCAAATTCAGCTTGTACTTTACAAAATGCTTGTGAACTGTGTGAGGCACAAGGAGGGGGAAACAGCTGCATGAATTATACTGACTTTGCCTCCTCATAACCTAAACATTATAAATGCACAGAGACCACATTGGGAAAAATTAATAAGGAGGAGATGCAACGTTGATCCCATGCGTCTGAACTATCCATGTATATTCATACAAGATCAATACCTTCCCTTCTGTCAGGCACATGAATTTTATCCCTGATTTGCCTTTCTTTCATTGACCTGCCCTACCCTTCATTTACAAGACTGCAGATCTCCACTGCTCATGGCATCGTGCCTGGAGACTGGGAATGTCATGTCCCATTCTGTCCCTGAGGCACACGGGTGCTCTGGGAAGCTCTGCACAAGAACTGTATCATTTTACCTAATAACAATCTTCCTGGTGAGATCAGAAAACAAAGACAGACTAGTTATTAAATCCTTTTACTATCAGGGACAGAATTATTTCAAGAGACAGCAGGGTTGTGAGGAAAGGGCATGAGAAGAAAATTGAGCAAGTTGGGCAAATTTCCTATTCCAAACCAACATTTACTTGGGGAGGGAGGGAGAAGTAAACAACAGATTTTCAGCTGTCAGCACAAAGCCCCAGAGGAGTGATCTGTGCAACTACTCAGGACCTGAATTTGCATTGGTGTAAAAATTTTTGGCTGAGAGAACCATAAGAATATCCCTCACCATTAGAAAAAAACCAACCCGACATATGACAAAACTTCACAAAAGCGTATGTTTTTTGAGGAGACCAAATTACATTGCTCCTCTCCTGATGCTTCTAGAAGAGTCAGGCATGTTAAAAAACATAATTAAAAGCAACCTGGGAGATAAATGGTGGTAACCATAACGGTTGGCAGAGGTACAATATATGCCAGTCACAAAGGATACAGACATTCCCCCCAGGCTTGTCAACAGTTTTGGCTGAAGGAAGCCAAGCTTTTGGTAGAACCACAAAAACAAGCCATGGATTTCCAGGCCATACAGGACTGCTGGTGTGCTCCTCATGGGGAGCCACCTCGTCATGGCCCTCAGCCACTTGAGGGAGTTGTGTTGTCAACAGCTTTAAGGAACACAGGTTTTGGGGAGAATCTGGTACTTAAAAATGCACAAAAAATTACTATTTGGAGACAATTCAGAGGGACAGACTTATTCTCTTGGAAGATCAAGGCCCTGGCTAGACGCCTACACTGAACTACACTTAACGTGTGCAGGACTCAGGAAGCAGCATTGCTGAGGGTTCAGAGGCACTTCACACCAGGCAACTGAGTCACTTCCTAACCTTTTAGAAAGGAGGTGCCAAATCATCATAATATCACATAGTGGTTGTGGTTGGAAAGGGCCTTAAAAATCATCCACTTCCATCGCCCTGCCATGTGCAGGGACACCTCCCACTAGATGAGGTTGGTCGAAGCTCCATCCACAGCCACATCAACTCTGGGCAACCTGGGTCACTGTCTCACCACCCTCATGAAATGGATTTTAAAGTATTCAATTTTTAAGGAGCAGGATACTGAAATCAATGCAAGGTTTCAGGCCGATGCTATTTAGCCACGATAGAAGTGAGGTCTTAAACTACATCAAGAAGTTCCAAGGCATCATTTAGTGATTTTCCTCAAGCCTGTTACTCTTCATAGAATCACAGACTGGTTTGGGTTGGAAGGGACCTTAAAGATCATCTAGTTCCAACCCACCTGCATGGGCAGAGACACCTCCCACCAGCCCAGGTTGCTCCAAGCCCCATCCAACCTGCCCTTCAACACTTCCAGAGATGGGGCAGCCACAGCTTCCCTGGGCAACCTGTTCCAATGTCTCACCCTCACAGCAAAGAACTTTTTCGTAGTGTCCACCCAGAATCTCCCCTCTGTAAGATTCAGACCATTGCCCCTTGTCCTCTCACTACACACACATATAAAAAGCCCTACCCCAGCTTTCTTGTAGGCCCCTTCAGACACTGTAAAGTTGCTATTGGGTCACCATGGAGCCTCCTCTTCCACCCCTTAAAGCCAGCACCCTCTGCCCCATCCCTGAGTCTCTCTGGTGGCAGTTTCAAACACCTCTAACTGGTTGCAGGGTCACAGAATGGAGCAGAGCACAGGTGAGGCACAGGATGGGAAAGCAGTTCAGTGCAGCTCACCTGCTGGGCGGCCAGCCCTGGCTGCCCCAGGGGCAGGGAGGCCACAGTGCTGGGCTGGACCACAGGGAACGGCAGCGCCGGCTCCTGGTAGTGCTGGGGCCTTGGGCCCACCACGGCGGGCGCCGCTGGAGCCGCGGGGAGGCCAGGCTGTGGGGGAGAGCACCACTTAGAGACAGCAACCTTCAGCTTGGGGAAAGATTGCATTCTTGCTCCTCAAGAATACAACCTGCAAGCAAATGGTCTATGTGGCACTGAATCCAAAACGGAGGGGGAAAAAAGTATGGAAAGTTACCTGCAGGGAATGGAAAGTTACTTAGCCTAAAAACAGGGAGGAAAAGTCAGTAAAGTCCAAGGCAGACAAGAAAAGTGCATTGCATTTCTTTCTGGAAGCAAGTGTGCAGTGCAATAAAACCACTGAAAGCATACACACAGTGACTGAGAGCATAGAATCATAAAACTGTTTAGGTTGGAAAAGCCCCTTGGGATCACCAAGTCCAACCATCATCCCTACTCTACAAAGTTCTCCCCTGAACCAGACCCACCAACACCACATACAAAGACCCTTCAATCCCCCGGGGGTGGTTCCCCCCCCCGCCCCCCTGGCCAGCCTGTTGCAGGCTCTGACCACTCTGGCTGGGAACAAACTTTTCCTGGTGTCCAGTCTGACCCTGCCCTGCTGCAGCTTGAAGCCCTTCCCTCTGGTTCTGTCGCTCATGACCTGTGAGAAGAGACCAGCACCAACCTCTCTGCAATGACCTTCCTGGTGCTTGTAGAGACTGATGAGGTCTCCCCTCAGCCTCCTCTTCCTCACACGGAACATTCCCAGCTCCTTCAAGGGTTCTTCATCAGATGGATTCTCCAGGCCCTTCCCCAGCTTCGTTGCCTCCTCTGTCCTTGCTCCAGCACCTCGAGATCTCTCTTGAATTGAGGTGCCCAAAACTGGACCCAACACTCCAGGTGTGGCCTCCCCAGTGCTGAGCACAGGGGGACAATCACCTCTCTGCTTCTGCTGCTCACACCATTTCTAAGACAGGCCAGGATGCCATGGGCTTTCTTGGCCACCTGGGCACACATCCCAACAATGAGGCACTAACTGGGTGAAACAGAAATTTATCTTCACAACAATTTTTATAATTTTATAAATAATCTTTATCTTCCAAAAAAGCAGGTAATTTACTTGAAATGGATGCCCAGAAGACAATAAAGAAATGAGAAGCAAATTCAAATCACAGTGGAAGTGAAAAAAAAAAAAAAAAAAGAAATATTTGTGACAACAGCAGTTCTCTAAAACTCAAAAAAAAAAAATTAAAAATAAGCAGTATGTCAGACTTAGGCTCACAAGCCTAAAAAATCCCACCTACTACAGCTCTAGTTAAGTGGTTGTTACCTCCCAGATAAATTTCCAAGATAAATACAGTAAATAATACATTATTCTTTTTCCCCACAGAGAATGGAAGGTTTTGAGTCAGACTTTTGTTTCTCATGTTTGTTGAGATTTTCAGACCTTGGAACTCTTAAGGTAAGTTATTGCAGGAAGAAAAAAAAAAACATGGAGGCCCCAACAGAAAATAAAAAGGTATGAGAAATATTTTGCTCATGAATAAAGGTGATTTATCTTTCCAAACCCTCAATCATGCAAAGAAGTAATGCATTTAGGTTAAAACACTGAAACCTAGCAATGAAAAGAATGTCAGCTCTGAAAGAGTATGCTGCACTACTCGATTTAATTAAAAATTTCTGTTCAGGGTGTGCCTTTTGAGTGTTAGATTGAGAGTTGTTAAGTTAGTGCTGCAGGTGACCAAGAAACGAGGAATGAGGCATCTCAGGAGATGTGCATGAATAGGAAAGGTGGTTTTCATGGTGGAGGGAGGTGGCTACAGATGCCAAAGATTAATTTTTTTTCCTTCAGGTAAACCAAGCCACGTTTCAATGAATTCACCAAATACAGTTCCTAATTTTTGCAAATATTTTGGAAAATCTAAGGCAAAACCAGTGAAAATTAAGTGCCTTCCCAAGTGCATGGGGTAAATCTGAAGCAAGCAGGAAAGAAACATTGGTCCTGGACTTTATTTTTTCTTCTCTTAAGTCAAACAGGATGAAGCATAACAAAACAACGAACCTACCACATCTTTACTGTCATGTTTACTAGGCAGATTACTCCTACTCCTCAGGGTGCTGCAGTCCCCAGCTTGCTCTCAGCCACGTCACAGCCAAGATGTCCAGGCATGTTGGCTTCTCCCCATCAGAGCTTTCAGAAGGCAGAGTGTTTCCTGAAACTCTGCTAGATCTCATGGGAGATGAATTGGTCTTTTGGCTAATCATGTATTTTCAAGATTCGGGTGACAGAGGCAGGTCTAAACTTCTGCCATACATCCTGCTTGTCTGGGGGAGAGGGCAAGAGGCCAAGTTTCTGGGAGGTGGCTACCTGGGGAGTGAGCACTTCTGACAGGTGTCAAAGGCTTCTGACATGTCTTAATCTTGGCCAGACTGAAATAAACAGGTTAGGCATGTCTGACAAGACTGCTGAGGAAACCTGAGCTCCTTAGGGTTTGCAAAGGTCCCCAGTGCCACCTCTTCTCCAGCTGGGGAAGGGACGTTGCCTTTGGAGTCAGAGCCACGACAGGGTCAAGCAGCAAAAGGCAGTGTGATGGGTGTGGGCTTGAATGGGTACACCACTGCTCCTGAGGGACATAATGCACTCATGTTGTGCCTCTTGCTGGAAGTACCTGGAGATTTGTGATCACTCGCATGTGTTTTTTCTTCCACCAGTGGTTCCATTTATTGCTCTGGGTCAAGGTTATAACAGCACTAAAATGGGAGCAAGTGAGAACATCTGCCAGGGTCACCAGTGCCTGATCTAGGGCCTCAGTAATGGATGTACCTGACCCACCCCGCAAGATTAATCCAAACCCAGAGCCAGCAAGGCAGTGACTGGACATTTGACCTTTTTCACAACTGGAAAAATCATCAGACCTAGAAGGCTCTTGAAGAAACAAAGGAACAATAACATGTGGCTATTGTGGCAGGGAATAACACCAAGCAGAACAGCTCTCAAAGTTTAAAACTCCTTGTTGCAAAGCTGTTGATGTAGTTCAGTGCCATGGGATTGACAGGAAGCTTTTTCACTGAAGGTCTGGCAGCTGCCAGTGAGGCTTTTCTTCAGAGCAGTAAATACAGCAACGCGTGCTGGAGACGCATCACCCAGCGGGGCTGCACCCGCGCAGGGCAGCGCGGGACACGCGCAGCCAGCCCTGGTACCCAGATCTGCTGGAAACTAGTATTAACAAGCATGAAGTACAATTCAGGATACAAAATTATTTTTAAAAGCTTTTGACTTACTCCTGATGGCTGCTGGTAGTGCCCCAGCTGGGGGAGGCTGTGGGGCACAGCCTGGCTCTCGCTCAGAGGGGGGCTGTACACCCGCTGCGCAGCCGGGGGGACCGGGTCGGGCAGAGACGAGTAGATGACACTTTGCTGGCTGCTTTGGGAGTCTGAATAAACAGTGGACCCCTGGCCGCTGTCAAATGTGCTGTCAGCTGAAAGAACAAGATTATTTATTAAAAGCTCAACAACTCCAAACATTCAAGTGATGATTTTGCAGCAAGGTCAACACTCATTTATGTAATTAGCATTTTTACTACCCTGTCCCTTTCCGTTACATAAATAAATGATACAGCACAAATGTTCTTTTCTACAGAAGGCACACACTGCTTCTCTTCAGCCACATACTATCCCCATGGATTTCTGTGCACGATGGTATTTTAGGAACACTGATATTTCCTTTAAAGAGCAGAAGGTGGACCAGAAGAATCAGAGATGTTTATATATTTTGTAGAATGAAAGGAAAGGAAAACCCAATTGCAATGTCCCCAGCAGATCATGGAGTCTTTTAGTGTGAGATCTCCCAGGGACACAGTGACTTTAACACTTTTTTTTATTAGTAGCACTGAAAATTACAAAATTCTTTCTACTGGACCCTGTATTAGTTTGGCAAACCATACCTTCCTTAAGCATAAAGCAATACTTTATGACAAAGAAGAGTAACATAATTTGCTGGTTTGCAGGGATCTAGCAGGACCATTCTGAGCCCTGTGGGAGCTTCTTATGCAGAGTGTTTGCCCAGGCAACCTGCAGAACTGCCCTGCTATGGGTACTAGGCAGGCACAGAAATATAACTGTGCCATTAGTACTGCTTATAAAATATCTTTTCACGTCTTTTGAGGCCTTTAAAATACAGGTGACCCAGTTCTTCTTGAGCACAAGCAATTGTTTTCTTCATTTAAGAAATGAAATGATACAAGGAAGACTGTAGCTCTAAGTATCCAAAGGACAAACGGCTTGTAGCAGAGATTTAAAACTGAAAGAAAACTGTTAACAGTCACAAAAAAAGTGGCTAAATTTACAGCTGTGTTGAAATGCTGTGTCTTTCCCTGACACTTATCTTTTTTCACATTCCAAATACAGTTTTATTTGACTTTTAAATAACAAATAATTTTTTAATAGCACCAGACACTACATTTCCCCTTGGTATCCACAAACTATTCTCCCAACTGGTGTTTGTTTGTTTTTCTTTCTTTTTCATAACAACAAATTCTCCCTGTATATATTCAGCTCGTTTCTAAGAAGAGTCAACACAGCTCTACTCTGAGAAGGCAGGGATTTCTGCTGCACACACACTTCCATTTTATTATAATTATCTAAGACCTCAAAAGTAAAAAAACACACCAGTGTGACAGGAGAGTGTTAAAGTAAAAGCTGTCAGTCAATCTCAGTGTTTTATAGAACAACTTGCATTACACATATTAATTTTTACATTTTATTAATTGGTAGAGCAGTAATTTATAGAGGTCTTAGGTCTAAGAAAATACTCAAAGATATACAATCACAAGATTGGTTTGGGTTGGAAGAGACCTTAAAGATCATCTAGTTCCAGCCCCTCTTCCCAGGGCAGGGACACCTCCCACTACATCAGGATACTTTGGGCCCCAGTCAACCTGATAGTGAATTGTCAAATAATACCAAGTATTGATTAAAAGATGAGAAGGAGGAAGAAATAAACTGGGGGGTTTATATTTAGTATAAAATTCTGCCAACTCACATCCAACAAAACCATAGGAAGCATAAGTAGCCTCACTGTATAATTGGAAACAGTGTCATAATTACAATGTTTCTCAAAGGAATTAGCATGAAATAAGTACATTATTAAAAAAAAAAAAAGGCAATTTAGCTTTAGAAAAAGTTTTCTTTTGAAATACTTCAATATTCTGACAGTTATGCAAATATATTTTTAAAGTTTGTTTTCTTGTAATAGCTTGGCTATTTTGCTGTTCAAAGCAGACCCCTGTACAGCAGTTTATACAACACCTGAATTAAAGCAGCAGCTGTTTCTTTGCTAAAGATAATGCATCTTTTATTTAAATGTTCTTGTCCAGAACAATAAAAGAGTAACATTATGGTAATAGTTTACCAGCAAAATATGTATATCAGATTTTATCAGAAAAACGGGCTAGAAAAGTAGTCCTAAAATTTCAGCTCTTCCAAGGTAAAAATATCTGGCAACATTTCCTTCAAGATTTTTAGAAGTATAAATAGATTAAGATTTAAATACTACAGCCTGACTTGGGAACAAAGGTTGATTTTAGGGGACAGAGACAAGTTACTTCGGGTAAATAAAACACTACTTCCTCATGCCTTGCTGCTTGCAAGTCTGAAACAATGAGCTCTGGAAGCAAAGCCGGGTGGTTTCTTGTTCAGAGACAGCTCAGAGTCAGTGCTTGGAATTAAAACAGGAGATTTTTGTTTTAGAATAGCCTGGTGATCACTCTTGAATCAGCCCCAGAGAATGTAAAAGGTTGGCAGATCATCAGCTTGTAGTTACCAGGGCCTGGATGAATGACAGCAACTAAGTACCCTGACCCCACCTGATGAAGATCAGACAACCCCCTGCTTCAAGCCCATGAGCTCAGGGCAAAGGAGGAGGAACTGAGAGCACGTGCATTGGGACGAAGGGCCCCAGTAGTGACTACAGTGTCAGTCCAGTTACAGGCTGGTGCTCCTGACACAGCTGGTATTTCCAACAAAAAAGAAAGCTTGAATTGCATCATGGAACACTGAGATGGAGTTTCTTGCCCTGCTGCAGACCTTTGCAGGGCTTCACAAAGAACTTCACACGAACCATCAAGAGCAACTCCCAAAACACAAGAAACTGCAGTGCTTTGGTTTCAGCAAGGTCTGCTTTAGAATAAACATCTCTACTCTGCCAATACCACCTGAAAAAGCTACCAGTTCCTCTGACCAGTCTGGTGTCCATTCAACTTCTGCAAGCTCGGAAACTGTTTCGCACAAATTTAATGTTGATCTCACTCACCATATGGCACAGAAAACACCTATTTTTGTTTAGCAGCAGGACTCTTTGATTTTTTCTTTAAAAATATATGATGTTTTCTGCATTTAACACCACCGAAGGAGGAGCCATTTCTATTTAGTATAGTTTATCTTGAAACTTTTTCTTCCAGAATTGTTACGCATCTGCAGAGTCACTTGTGTCCTTTTGAGCTACTGTGCAAAAGCCCCGCAGAGCAGCTCCCCTCACCATGGGCTCAGATCCTCCTTGACTTTTCCCCTTGGACATTCCTCACCCTGTGCACACAAAATCATAACAAGACTTACAGGCAACAGACGTGACGCTGGTGGGCAGGTTCTGCTGATAGGGGTGCTGGTCTGCCTCGGGCTCCTCCGACTCCGACAGGACATGGTGACCAGTGTGGGAAAGGTAAGTGACTTGGACCTGCTGCGCATGCGGTGTCTTCAACTTCTCCAGACATTCAGAGTCCCGACGTTCCTCTGACTGCATCCTAGGCCAAATTCTCTCTCTTCTCCATAGTATTAATGCTACTCTGTCACGTATTGACTTCGCAACTATCTTGAGATCATTTTCATGAAAAAATCCAGAGTCAATCTACAGAGGAGGCACAAACTTAGCAAGATTAAGTGCGCAGGGATGGGCGGGCACACGTGCACACACGCGCTCCTGGAATCTCTTCCTAACAGAGAAAATCTCAGTTTGAAATACCATGAATTACACATTTATTCCCCACAAGAAATCATGAGCTTGATGTTTTGTTGTGGTTTTTTTTAATAATACTTCTGTCCCTAATGTATTTTAAAACAACATGTAATTTCTAAGACCTGAATATAAATTGGGTCAATTTATTGACCAGCTCACATCCATTGAGAAGATGAAAGCAAGTGTAACTGTAAATGAGTTTGCCTTTTTTTTAAAGACTAACAGAATAGTCAAAAGCAGAAAAGCCTCTTTGAACAATGCAACTGGAGTAAATCACACTATGCCTAAATCAGAATTTATTGCCTTAACCTTTTCAGTATAAACAGCTTCCCAAATTCCTGTGCTTGATAGCACAGCAACTCATACAGGAAAAAGATGTTAAAAGAATTTAGTCTCAAATTAACTTTTCTTAAAAGGTACAGTCAGTCAGTTAGTACTGATTGACTTTTATAAAGTATAATTGAGTCAAATTTAGACTGTTCCCATTTGACTGAAAAGGGGACCAGGCTTTCTCAGGTTTCAACTGCTCAAGAGAGAAAATGCAAAGTCATCATTCAGCTATTGGTTTGCCTAATCTCCTACACTGTAGGGTACAAATTTCAGTTTAATAATGACCTACCAGAGATTTTTCTGCTCTCCCTACTTTCTTGACATGCATATTCCACAGATGTAGAAGCACTTCTACACATGGAGGAAATATAGAGATTTTACTTCTTTGCTCTTGCCCACTTTTACAGCTTAAGATTTTCACTGTTTGAAATTAATGGGTGCAAAGCAGCTTAAAATACAGCTGCAGATGGTTATGGGCATTTTCCACTGCCTATGCCCTCAGGCCTTACTGACATTCCTGAAATGATGATCCAGCAAACGCTAATGACAGAAGGGATTAACTCGAGAGAAGAACCACACAGGTCCAGAGAACCTTGTATGGTATTAACAAATGAGCCCAGCAGATTCTTCATGACAAAACTTACTGGAAAGTACTGAAAATCAGCCACATTCACAGGTTTTAATAGGTTTTTTTTTAAAATAAATCTGATTCCTATGTCTCTATATAAAAGCTTAATGAAGATATGCTATTTTACAGTACCGACTGGTTGTGAAACATGGCTTTAGGTTACAGTTCCACCAGAACATTTCAAGTTCCTTTTGCCCAAGTGGCTGGGCCAGGCTGCAAAGCCTGACTCCTGAAAACCCATTACACAGAATTCCCCCTACTCAAAAGGTTTCCTGCACTCCTCTCTTCCCCAGCACAACAAAGCAACAAAAATTGATGAAAGCACATGGATTTGGTGCTCCCCAATTCATAGTGGCTAGAAAAAGACATTTAGGAATTCATTATTCCCTTCACCTGCTCCCCCCACCAACAGCCTCAAGTTTGAAAGCATATGTGCAGTCATTTACTTAGCTTTTAACATACTAGTAAAACACAGGTTTTAAAAGCATTTGAGAAAGGGAACAGTATCACAGTAGTTTGGGGAGTGATCCTTTTAAGTATACTTTTTACATTGTTATTTATAATATTTATAATTTATATTTATATAATTTTTATAATAAATATTTATAGTATTTATAATAATTTCCTCTTCATAACAAAATATCAGAACTATGGACCAAGTAACCTCCAGAACTTCAAAACTCCAAATAAATCAATATTTAAATGCAAAATCCAACAGCAAGTAACTGTATCAGAACAATGTTTAAATGAAATGAGTTCTGTAACAATACATTGCTCAAAAACTATTAGACTTACTGCAAAGTAATGACAAGAAGACAGAGGAGCCTGAATTTCTCCCCCTAAATTTGGAATATATGGCAATGGATCCAAGCTCAGAAAGGCAACATTACCAAAATGATGCCTCCTGAGCAGGACAGAGGTGGTGATGACAACATCATCAAATGGGATCCCTTGGGGTTTAGGATATAATAGGAACATTTCTGCAAGCACAAGAAAATTCAGACCCCTGACTAAGTGCTTATTGATTCTGGTTCCATGATGTTAGAAAACCTGAACACTGTTAAAATATGAGTTCAAGGACTATAAAGTACAACTGGAATACAAAATAATTTTTCTAACAAAACCCCAAAAGTTATGAAGATACAGAAATTCCCTGAGGTGTTAAAAAACCCAAAGCTTATTCCAAATCATGGGCTTGAATCTAGTTTCCTATTTATGTTTGGTGATAGAGTAGCTGACCATGGATTCTCATCTACATCCCTAAGTAACACTGACAGAAAAGATGGAAAGAAGTGTTTTGAAGGATTCAGTGTAGAATATTTTGTGATTGAACTTCTGAACTCTTCTAATTTATTTCCAGCTGCTGTCTGAAGCTATTTTAAAGACATTCAACAGCTCACAGGCTTTGGCAAAAGAGTTTTCATAATATGTAAGTAGAAGAGACCTCTATGTTCCCTAAGCTATTTGAAATGCTGCTTCATGCATCTGTTCTAATACTTGGCAAACAACATTTTTCAGGTATTAGTTCTTCCCCATTTACCCACTTCTTGAGGTATTAATTCTAAAATCAATGCAAACTGTTTAAACTAGACACCTAGAATGGTTTAAATCCAAGTTACTTTACCAGACTCATTCCTGC